ACAGTTCCAACCATTACCTCCTAGTGCCACCCTGTACACCGAGTCCAACCTTATTCCTCCGGAGCTATCCGCTCCCCGCCTGCGTTTACCGCCAGCTTTTACTGCCAAACGGGGACACTCATAGTGTCAATAATCATGTAGAATAGTACTAATCACATGATAGTCTATCTCCTTTCATTATTGTCCACCAATCATATAACATTACACAGTCATCATCATAGAGGATTGAGGCTCATCAATAGCCCAATCAAGTATCAACAAACGTGTACAACATATGTACAAGATTACATGAAGGAATACAACCAATAGATTTCAATGAAAGGCATGAATAGACCATCAAACAACGATACAACATCAATAGGCTTTAATCCAAAGACTAACATGATTGGCAACACAAGTTGCCAATCCTCATTAGGAACAAACAAACAACACATACTAGCATCAACAACATTAGGACTAGCATGTACATCAAAAGGAGAAACATAATGGTTCATCCGAACCTCAATGACTTCACTTAAATCCAACGAATCACAAGGTTGGACCATAAGCACGATTCAAGACTCATAATCCTATCACGGATACTTAGGACACCGTGCTAGACGTACGAAACATCAAAGGAGACACACAAGTGCACCACGATTCAACAAAACGGAGGCCAAAGCATCACATACCAGTGGGCGGAACGGTGGGTAGACAACCACCAGCCGCACCCCCTTACATGTACCAGCGGGTGGGCCTCCACCCGCGACTCTCCCCGCCTGTGGTTAAATAGAATATTTATCATAATATAAGGGATCCTATTAATCTAAATAGTTAATTATATTTTGATTCTGAGATTGATTAATACGTCCGTGGGTGTGTGCATTTCTGTTACACGGTGTGTGCAAGGCGTGTTTTTTTGTGCATTGGTGTGGTATGGCGTGCGCATTGTTTTGGTATGGATTTTGCATTGATCAGGTATGGTGTGTGCGTTGCATTTTTCAGGTGTGTGCGTGAGTTTATTTTCATTTTGGCTGGTGTAAGTTTATTGGAAATACACAACGAACAAGCCCAAGTACATGAATCAGCTTTTTGTATAGACGTTTGCATTTTCAAGTGGATAGAAAGTGCATAGTAGAGATCGTATTGTGCGTTTCGTTGTTTTTATTTATTTATTTATTTTTTTTTGAATTTGTTGCGTAGGTGTGTGCAGGAATTAGTGGTGTCGTGTGCGTTTCTCTGGTCTTCTGTGCAAACAACATTGTGGTGTGTGCGTAACACTCCTATGTGCACGATTTTTTTGTTGTACAGCTCTCACTAAAAAATAATTACTACTTATTACCACTAATATTCTCTCTATTATTATGGTAAAGATTTCCATTTAATTCTAACCAAAATTAACACACTACTAGAATTACTTTTTAACCCTCTGATTGTAATATGTCCTTAATTACTTCATATTTCTCATTCAATCCCAACCATCCATTAGGAATGTATTAATGGATGAGATGAGATCTCATGATCTCATTTAACATGAGGGTCTCATGGGATTCGCAACCCCTCTCTCTCTCTCTCTCTCTATATATATATATATATATATATGTATGTATGTATGTATGTATGTATGTATGTATGTATATGTATATGTATATGTATATATATGTAGCTTGAGATATGGAAATTCAGATAGTAATTTGGAAGAGATGTAAGAAAGGTATGTCAGTCAAGTGCTCTAAGAGAAGTTTGAGATGAAAGGTTAATTTCATTATTACCATATTTTCTTGGGTTATCTGCAGTAACAAACACTTGAGAATATATCTTTCAATAGAATTCTCAATTACACAACTTAAAAGAAAAAATCTTGGAAGAATAATATAAGAATTTTGTATATCTTCTTGTACCTCATCTTAATTGGGTATTTCCTGTTGCGTGTAAAGTGAGATTTAAGACTTATATGAAAGTGATCATACACCTCAAGATAATAAATGATCTAGTTTTTGTTAATTACCTTCTTTCTTCTATACTTTTTGTTGTATCGCAGGAAAACATTACAGAATGCAATAAGCATTTCTCCAACAGTTTAAACTATTACATGAATTACAAATTGATCAGTGTTATGCGCCCCTAATATAAAAGAAATTTACAAGAAGTGTCAATATATTTGTAAATGTACAAACCAAATACGTACAAGTGTACAACCGTAGATTTTATTACTCCTAACCCACAGTGCTAAAACATTTTGCCATTTAACTTGAAGCTAGATTGATAAAATATTATCACATGATTCCAAAAACTACAAAAAAAAAATAATAATAATAAAAATAAAATCAGTAGCAATAAAATTTGGTGAGTTTGGCACTTGGCATTGAAAAGGGGGAGCAGGGAAGACCCACTAAAGAGATGGCTTTGGACCTAAACTGCTGTTGAGGGGATTATTGGGGTGGCCGGGGTGGGGTTGGGGGGGCGGGGGGGAGACTCAAAGTAAAGATATGGACATCTGTCAGTCACTCACATCTATATACATTGCTAAGTTTCAGATGAGTGATCTGAACTGCCTTGGGATTATATTTTAGGAGAAGCCCATGAGGTAACTTTCTTCGAGTTGCGACATGGTTGCAACACATTGGTAAGTCACAAAACTCACTTCTTGTGGTCCTTGCAAATCTATTGCTGAATGAGGAGTAACACTCAGCTCACTTCCACATTTCCCTTTTCATTTGTTAGCATAGCTTAGAGTTGAATGCCCACTTTATCCTATTTGAGGCTTGTCCTACAATCTTGATCATGACCACTTCCATCCATCTACAAGTGGCTGCCTCTGTGTTTAATTTGGGGCCCCTAGGGATTCCGGCCAATGTCACCTTTGTTGTATTAACAATGGGCCAAATACCGATAACACTTTTAACAAATCAGTTTAAAATGAAATGAAATGAGATTTAAACTCAGAGGATACTCAAATAGTATTAAAATAACTAAATAATATATTTAAACTCAAAATAAGTTCATAAATTTTGTTCTAATATCAATCAGTCTGGTTATGGACACTAGTGTTGTAACACCCCTGTTAGAAAAACGTTGATTCATATAATTAAGGTGTCATGTTTATATGAATCAGTGGGAGACTGTTAGAAATAATTATTTCATAACAATGATTTATATAATAAAGGTTGTAATTCCATAAGGTACTCACATTGATGATTAGTGATGTGTAAAGGCGGAATTACTGGTGAAATTCCCTCCCTCTCATTCTGTTAAAATTTAAGTTTATAAGGGTTAAAAGATGTATACTGGATAAGGTTATGGGTTTCACAATCCTAAAGGGATTTCTATTCCTGAAAGGAGGTCACATTCCTAAAGGGATTTCTATTCCTAAAGGAGGTTCCCATTCCTCTTGAAAGAGGGTTTCTCATCACATCTATAAATACCCAGGAAAACTCTAAGGATTGAAACAGTTTCAAATCTCTAAGTTTTCTGGTCTCCGTATTATCAGGAGGTGAATAAGGTATACGGATCAGAGAGGTGAAGCATTATATTCTTGATTCATTCAATTTAGAGATTACATCTTCAATGGAACCAAGTAAATCCTATCATTCCTATTTAATTAAAAGTCCATGATCATGAACATAGTTTAGTTGATTGATTTGATTTACATGCGATCATTGTTAATTGTGCTTCCGCATTCACTACACCAAATCAGGCATTTAGCGGCGGTTTTATTTATATTTAGCGGCGGTTCAAAACTGCCACTAGTGTGTTTAGCGGCGGTTATTCAACCGTGTCTAAATAGTGTGTTGCGAAGCATTTAGCCGGCGGTTTTTTACAACCGCGGGAATTCATGAAAAATTTATTTAGCGGTGGTTTTGAATGCATTTAGCGGCGGTTTACAACCGCCGCTAATATTTATTTAATATTTACGGTTTTAAATGCATTTAGCGGCAGTTTGAAAACCGCAGCTAAATTTTCTTTAAAATTTACTTTGAATTTTAGCGGCGGTTTATAAACCGCCGCTAATGTTTATTTAATTTTTTTTTCATAAATGTTAGCGGCGGTTTTTAAACCGCCGCTAATGTTTATTTAAGATTTTTTTTTTTTTTTTTTTTTTTTTTTTTTTTTTTTTTGTATTTTCTCATCTAATAGGGATTGCTACTAAAATTTATAATTGTCATTAAATTACTTTTTTTGCTGTAAACATCTACTTTCATATGTGCATTGCAAACACAAATAAATACACATTTAATTTAGATGAAAATCAAATGTAACTTGTATTGCCAAATACTAATGTTTAACAATATTCAAAGAAGTTTACATATTAAAAGAAAATCAATTCAACATCCAAGCTCATTGGTGGCAATTTTATCATCAAAAGAGAGCTAATTCATCTCCTCTGCAGTGATGGATTCCTCATGTGGCTCTTTCATATCCTTCTCTTCCAGCTTCTCTTGCAACATAAAGACCTGCAACCATTTCATTTGATATTTCAACATCATTAGTCAGCCCCTCTATTTGTTTGCATAATCCTGCAACTGATAACAGAAGACAAATAAATAAACTATTCATCGTAGGATTCAAAATCCAAATTAGATTGCTAACAATTACGACATTCAGAGAACATATATATATATATATATATATATATATATATATATATATATATATATATATATATATATATATGATGTAGGCAGACACATACATACATCTTAATATGGATTTGATTGGATGGATGGTTAATAAATTAATGTCATGGCTGGTTCCAGGCTGAACCGAATAAACTGCTCAACCATGAAACAACACATTTCGTCGATCATATCTCCAAAAAAGATAGACGATGAATATATTACAAAAAAAAAAAGAATAACTACCTTCACAATGTTGTCATTCTTACTGAGAATTTTTACTAAGAAGTCCATGTAAATAGAAAATGTGCAATTGTTTGCTGTTTTATTAGTTATATAATTCCAGCCTTCACAGTCAACTGGACATCGCGGTCTTTTTCCATTTTTGTAAGTGATGACTATAGAGAGTGTATAAGCAGTTGCAGACAAGGTAAGTCACAATGAAGAGAGTTGCCTTAACAACAACCAATGACCAATCTGCAGTCCTACATTGCCCAGAAACTGCAGAACCTTAACAATGAACCCCAGGACAGATTAAGAATGTAAAGGATTTCCTAGCTTCAACATTAACTTGGTGCTACAAATTTAGATTCTTTAATCTTCCAAAGCAGAAAGTTCATATAGAAGATTGTATGAAACTACTTACAGTTGCATATCATGTAGAAGATTGTCCATTAACATGATGACTAGAGGATGAATTTTGCTTTCCACTCCCTTGTGAAGATTGTAGCTTGCTTCTTTCATCGGGTACCTACATTTCATAGTATAAATTTCAATACTCGACTCTAAATAGTTAAATGAAATCAATGGTGTTTGCACAACAATATAGAAATGCATACAATCCGTTTTTCTTAATGTATAACTCAGTATTTGAAAAAAAAAAAAGTATGCACTTACTGGTTTAGATGTTTGGTTAAGGAAGATAGCAAATTCTTCAGGAACTTTGCCAAAAGTTCTTTCCAAAATAGCAACAAGAGCCCCTCCCATGGCCTTTTGCACATCACTTTGAACTTGCAACTTATCACTTTGAACTTGCAATTGAGCTTTAGTTGCAGCTAACTCTTTCTCCAAAGTGGACACATACTCCTTCATTTGATTATCCTCATTCATCCTTGATGTATTGTTAAATACCTTAGATGGGCATGGTCCAAAACCTAACCCACGAACACGTCCATTGTGTTCTTTTCCAAAGGTTTTGCCAACAGGATCATCTTGTGAAACAAATTGTGATTGAGAAGGCGAGCATTGATCCATTTCATTTATGATCTTTTCCTGCATTAAACAAATATAAATTTGCAGTGTAACATCTAACCCTTAAAAATAAATTAAAACATACTTACAGTGATAATTCTACATTCTTCATTAACAGATGACCCTCTTTTTACTTTGTGGGTATCCATCCATAGTTCTGAGCGATTAACAGTGTGCCCGAGCTCAATTTCCTTGCATGAAAATTAAATTGTTAGTAGTTAAGAAAAAAAAAAACATTCAACTTAGTTAATTGCAAAAAAAAAAAAAAAAAAACAAATTGAAATACCATCTCGGCCCTTCTCCTAGCAAAGCTCTTTGATCCAGAAGTATGTGCATTTTTTTGGTGTTTCCTACTTTCAGCATTTTTTTGGCACATCCCCTAATAATAGAGTATAATACTAATACATTAGGCAAATATGACAACAATAATAAGCAAACAGATATTAGAAACATTACCTTAGATTTGTCAGACAAACGATAGTTGACAAAACTTGACCACTGGTCTCTATGAATTCCAATTGGACACTTACTAATCAGTTCATCTCGGTTTAAGGAAGAATCATAGAACTCTATCCACAACCTAGATTTGAAGTCCTTCCATTTCCTCCCAATATTTTGAAGTGTCCAATGTTTTGCAATCACATCATTTTGGAAGTGAAATTTTGGCTTCAAATCATGGCAAATGTAATTATTAGCATTTATCAAAAGTTATAAAATTTAGTGCAAATAGAATCACTTTATGGTACAAAATTTGGTGCAAGTAGACTTATCATTTATACACACAATACTTTGTAGAGGAATAAAAATCAAAACTTCACCTAATCTTATGGACAATAATATACTATACAATTTTGATGATTATTTATTACCAAAAATGGGAAATGTACTGTTCTGCTAGGTCCTCCAAAATCCTGGAAAAAGAAAGACTTTTTTTTTTTCTAAAAATATTTTATTCTATGTAAGTTACACCTCTTGTGAATTTAATGTTGATAATTTAAGGCACATGGTATGATTGTCATCAGATCAGACCACCTAAGTATCCTCACCAATACCTTTCGAATTAATTTCCTCCTTACAAGTTTTGTCATTTGTATCTTCTCTATGCCACTATCTAATATACATTTGCAAGGCTAACCTGCAGATTTGACAACTGCAATACCACATGAAAGCATTGAATCCATCTATAGTTCTATAGTTGAAAGACATGAAATGTATAAGTTTTACATTTTTATTCCATATTTGATTAATTGATGCCTCTAAACAAATTTTTTTATCATAAAAAATTAGAATAAAATTATAGTTAAGGGATCAATTATAGTTGAATTTAAAAAATTGAGAATACAAATTAAGAAAAAAAAAAGTAAACCTGAATAGGCAGAGCCGCAGAGAAGAGAAGAATACACATTAATTGATGGAAAATAAAAGAAAATGAAATGAAGAGGCAGATAATACAAATGCACATATCATATCAGGGATGATTATAAAGGAACATAAATCTGAATAGGCAGCCGCCCTTAATAGATAAATTATATTTCACAATCATCAATCATAGAGAAGAATACACATTTATTTTTTTGAATGTAGCAAATAATTGAAAGTATTTTGTTACCTTGATTATTTTGGCAAAGGTATCTTCTTTATATTGCTTTGGCATCAATCTCCAATCAGTAAAATTAATTGGAAATGAGCTACTTTCCTGTGCCAACCCTGAAAGTGTTCCAGTATATAATCCTGCTGCTTCAGTGAATGGTGTATCAAACTTGTCAAATGGGACTATGACTTTTTCACCCAAGGGAAGTGTCCAAACTTCTTTAACTTTCAGTTTTTTTTTTTATTCACAAATCCTTCTTCATCTGTCAATAAATGGAACTAAATTAATGTATTGATTTATTCAGACTTTTTGTACATATCAATCAATAAATATAATAATGTAAACTTACTAATCACATCAACTTTCCACGAAGTCCTTGTTTTCCTTTTAAACGAAGATGGTGCATCTTCATTTTGCTCTTGTCGTGTTTCAGTATCTTGAGTTTGCTCTTGAGGTGTTTCATTATCCTGAGTTTGTTCTTCAAGTTGTGCGTCATTCAACAATTGCTCGTGTGTTGATGAAGAAGGTTGTTGATGAGACATTGACCGACTCATATCCATGAACCTTTTTGATCTTGGCATACCTACACATTAAATGAAAAATTAAGGATTATAATTGGATGTCAGCATGTCACCTCCTTGAGGAAACACAAATACTGCTTACATTTTCAGTTCAAGAACACAACTTAAGGTCTGCTAGCTCAGAAGCATAAATGAACCCTCAAAATTGTACAGTATGTAAAACAATTTACTGAATCTTTATTAGCAGAAATGCAAGAATGATGAAATATTTAACCAATGTTGATAGAAAGGTTAAAAAGTTCTAATCTCATCTAAAAATACTAGGTTGTCCTAAACTGACAGTTCACACCCAGCAAACACAGTAACATCAAGAATTAGCTGGATTGAATATTGCAGAACACGTACAATCTGGACTCATAAGACATGGATTATAAAAAACAGAACTGCATACTCAAGAATTAGACAGGGATTATAAAAAACAGAACTGCATACTCCTAGAAATTCCTATGTTTGGTTTAGGATTAGTGATAAAAAGTGGAACAATAATCAATCAAGTAGTGACGACGAAGTTACTACTTTATCAAGCTTCGTTATTCGCCGTCCTTTAGAGGCCAGGTGATCTCGCTGCAATGTAAGGTTCAGTTAGTATTGAACAAAGAAATCTATAAGTGACCAATTATGTTAAAGTATGGACAATAGCCAACTTAACATGGTTAATATTAACTATGAGTCTATGATGTTCAAAATCTAGCCTAATGTTCAGAAATTCACATGAGTACATGACAAGCATTTAATATGAAAACAAGAGTAACAAATAGTTGCATCAAAGTGAAAATCTCTTGAGCTCAATGGCAGATGGACCAAATTCTGTTCCTATTTCAAATACTTTAACATATTAATGCGGCTAATTTGCCAAATAAAATGAAAGGCGGGTATGTCTGCAAGGACTATACACACGCATACAAACATACATAGAAACGGCATGTTTGTAAGTTCCCTGCATCTTTTTCTTCGACTAAAACAATGAGAGACTATATTAAGTAAAAAGTTTTAAGTGCTCAACTAATAGAAGAGATGATTATATGCTTTGGATGTAAACTGCCCTTGTTTATTAACTAATCTTTCTTAGGAAATCGAAATAAACACTGCCCTTGTTTATTAACTAATCTTAGGAAATCCAGATAAACAAAGTTACCCAGCAATATGAGATTAAGATATTAGTTTCAGTTTTCTACTTGATAGAGAGATAGTGGTATTTCACACAACAGAAAAACAGTGAGTTATAACCACTAGCTATAAATGAAGATTTCAAACTTGCCAAATCAAAAAAAAAAAAAAAAAACAAAAAAACAAAAAAAAAAAAACAAAACAAAACATGGAAGAAAGAAGTAAGAGGCCATTGCTATTCTAAATCCTCACTTCTAAAAATTACATGTCACATATGCACAGAACTCAAGCCAAGGACCACTTTGCTTATCAGAGGTGCAAACATCTCTGTTTGTTATTTTGAGATCAAAAGATCTAACAATTGCATGCTGAGCAGTGAAACTGAACTGACCCATCCATCCATCATTACCCTCAATAACCAGTTTTCAGTTTCTTATAGAAGCACTCCCATCAGTGTTTGGTACCATTTGTACAGGAAAATATCAGAAATGAAATTGAGTGAACCAACCTCCTCAAACGTCATTTCTTATAGAAGCACTCCCATCAGATTTTGTTAAAAAACAAGTCAATAAGCTTAAATTCCAAAATACAAGTGAATAAGCTAAAATTAGGCTAACACAACCATAGTTTCGCATCTATAAACACACTCAATTCATCCATACAACACAATTTGAAAAAAAATGCATACATATTACCTTATGGAAATCCTCTCAGATGCTATTACACGTCTCCTTCTCACCGCAGCAGCCTAAAATCGACGTAATGGAGTGGTGAAGTGAGGTCAGGGCAATTTTTAGAGACTTCCTTGAGCTAAAATGGCAGAATGAGTGATGAGAAGTGTTAGGGCGAAGTGAAGTGAGAGGGTTAGGGCAAAGAGTCACTTGAAGTGAGAAGGGATAATGAAACGGTGAAGTGCGGTGAATAGTCACTTCAAATATATATATTAGGAATCACTTTTTTTTTTTTAACATTTAGTGGCGGTTGTTAGTGGCGGTTGATGAACCGCCGCAAGTAATTGTCGCTAATAATTAATTATATAGATTTATAATCTCGCTAACAACTACGAAGTAATTATTTAAGCTCCTTTATATTAAAATTAGCGGCGGTTTTTATAACCGCCTCAAAATAGTCATTTAGAGGCGGTTATGTATAACCGCCGCTAAATATGTGTCGCTAAACGCCCAGTTTGTTGTAGTGATTTAAGTTATAGCGCATAAAGGATTAATTTAACATTTGGTATCAGAGCCTGCTTGTAAATTGATTAATCACTAAAATTAGGGTTCATGATATTTGGGGATTTTTAATTATAAGGTTTATTGATTGTGGGTTTGTTGTTTATTGCGTCATATGTACGTTCTGCATCGTTGATGATGGATTGTTATGGATGTTAACAACAATTGATTTCTTGGAATTAAATATCTTGTGCGAATATTTGATGGATTCACACACTGTTCATATACATATTTAATTAAAAGAAAAACTGATTTGCATGTTCTGGAATCTATTGTGCAATGTACTGTTCTCTGGGAAGTAACTCATATACATATATGTATGTAAATGTTGTTTTGAAATTGAATCAAATAGGATCAACATATATATGCATATACACGTACTGTTCAAAAGGAAAATTATAAGCTATGTACGTAGTGTATGTTCTTTGCTATGTTGGAATAATCAACAAACATATACGTCATACGTGGATGCATGTACTGCTCTATATATATGTTTGATACTGGATTATTTATATGGATTGATTATTAATGTGGTTGTCCATATTACTTGTTATTGCATGATTTATGTGTTATATGGTATGACACTATTAATCATGTATTATATGTTATAAGAGAACGACATATAAATTAAGGTTTATTTTGTTTCGACAATTAAATTGAGTTTATTTGAGTTATTTAAAGTATTATGGCTCACTTTAAATTTTAGACTCATTTAATTTGTGTTTATATTTGAGTCTATTTGGGTTATTTAAAGTATTATGGATTTACTTTAAATTCTAGGCTCATTTAATTTAATTTGGGTGTATATTTGAGCCGTTTGGTTTATTTAAGGCATTAAGGACTTGTTTTAA